GGATGAACCGTCACATTGTTTAATAGCGGCTAATGCCCATATACACCAATAGGACTAACAGACGCTGTCACTTGTTCATTGTTTTTATGGGCACAGTAATCATGGATTATCACTCGCCTCCGAGACTGGCCCCCTGCATTGGGAGGTCAGTCTAGATTGTTCTTCAGGCCTCAATTCGGAAAGGTAATATTGATATAAATTTTTACAAGAAATAAATTTTATCTACCGTACCGCCCTGCAATAGGTAAACTACGCCCGATCCAGGCCCGACAAAAGACAACGAGAGAAGTAAAAATAGATAGACCCGTGTACCCCTAGCTTGCGAAAAGAAAAAGAAAGAGAAAAAAAGAATACGCAAAGTAAAGGACCAGGCTAGCAGGTAAAGCGATATCGAATTTTGGGACCCCTGTTGAATGCACGGGTAAAGGATGAAGAAGGCGTTCACAAGTCGATACGTTGAGGTTTGCATGTGCAGAGGATTAAAGAGAAAAAAAGGAATGGACTAGAATAATAATTAATCCCTTTTAGGAGAAAAAAAAAAGAAGAAAAAAGTAGAAAAATGGAAGAACAAAATACAGCAAAAGGAAGAAGACCTCAGGTGGTCGAAAATAAAGGAAGAAAGTAAAGAACAAGAAAATCGATCCAAAAACTATGGCACTACAAATAAGAGAAAAATCCATGGATAACAATGATTCGCCAATAAGAATAATATAAAAATTCAAAAAGAAACAATTATAGGCGACAGGTATACTTTCGAGGCTCCTGTTGTTGTTTTATGTACCGACGCATATCCTCGTTCTCCTTTCCAAGTCGTCTGATCTCCATCTGCAAGCTTGTGGTGCCCTCATGGAGCTCTACGATGAACTCCTTAGTCATTTTCAATATGTTCGCCTTGGATGTGCCCTTGTCTGTGCATTCAGGTACCAGCTTGAATAGAGCCTCCATACCATCTTTAATGGTCTCCCGACGCTTTTTCTCGGAGTTGAGATGTTTGATGCGTCGTATCTCATGCTTGCTCTTCTTATGTTCTGAGTTTCCGGGTAGAGATGACCTCATAGGCAGAGAGTGTGGGGAAATGCTGCCGTGGATCCGAACGGAGGATGATTGGTATGACTTTGAAATTCGGTGCTGTTGATGGTGGTGATGAGTTTGTTGGTAGCGATGACTATTACGCTGGACATGTTGATAAGACGAGCCGGTGGCATTACCCCTTCCATCGCCATAAGCCGGGGCGCCTCGCTCCGAAACTGGTGTTGTTGGACTGTGGCTTCCCGGGGACGTGCAGCCGGTCGATGATAGGATCGATTCCGATAGGGAAGGACAACGGGTTCGCGGAGATATCGGGCTAATCTGCATTGCGTATCTGATGCCCTCCATCTCAGGGACATTGGAATAGTGTGATTCCGCATGGGGAAGATGGGCCGGACCCATCGCGTTGTGGGTTGGTAAAAGTAAATGGCTACTATGCTGCTGCTGTTGTTGCTGTTGCTGCTGCTGTAGTAGATGCTGAGGATATCTTCCTTGAAAGGCTTCAAGACGAGAAGGCTCAATCACGGTTGGTTGGCCTTCTCTAAATGAATGATATTCATGTTCTATTTCGCTACCATCCATTCTCCCAGGGCGTGGGTGTACACAATCCCGCATCAGAGAGCTGAGTGGTCTATATGTGCGTTAGCTATGCATATGCAAAGGAATCGCCGAATAACTTACGGAAGTGCCTGGTTAGATGAGGACTTTGAGGTAATCATACTCATTTTTACTGGTAGAATGAAAGGAGGGTATAGTTCAAAGGTTGGTAGAAGTACAAGTGGGAAATACGATAAAGGCCTCAAATAATACTAAATATCGAGCTGGTAGTATGGTAAAAGTAATAGAAACAGGTCGCAGAGAGGGAAAGCTTAATGAATGTATTTCACTGGGTGAAGGCTAGCTATAGGAAGAACTGAAGTGAGAACTGATGGGTAAAAACGATAGAAGTTATATGGGCAAGCCTTCCTTGATATACACTCCCACGAACACCTTAGAATTCCCTGGGCTGAGTCTGCGAATGATCAACTGGATCTATGAACCCCTTCACACCCAAAAAGAAAAAGAAATAAACTACCATAGCCCCTCCCATCCTCAAAGAAGCGGGGCCGAAGGAGGAGGATCATCCGTTAAACACGAGAAATTGACCGTGCCCACACCTTGATACCAACACCCGCGAAAGCTCACCATGTCTCACGATTTCTCTCCTAAGAATGCCATACCTTGCTAGTTTCGTAAGCACAATGTATCTAGTGGGGGAAAAAACAAAACCTTCAGTTGCCCGAAGACATCAAAGACACCCATGTCTGATACCCATTGCACCACAAGAAAACTCCGGCTAATAATCTTAAACGAATCCATATGTTGGACAATGCGTGTGGGTATACCTGCAGGAATAAGCTTCCAGGGGGTTGGGCGAAAAGCAGATTGACCACAAGGAAACCCCATTCTCCTGCTTTCCGGACACACGCAAAGAGGATAAGTCCCGACTCGACGATCTTATAAACCAGAAAGATCTTTCTCTCGTAGGTCTTTGGATTTAATACCATAGACTTCGGACCCCTTGCCTGGAGCGGTCGAGCTCAATACCAACACGCTCGATCTCGTGGTTGCAATGCCCTGTAATGCCCTGCGTGCGACTCGGCCCGGCCGTTCGTCTCAACTTGAACTTGGACAAGCTAATTATGGTGGTGATAAATAAGACTGTCAGCTTTTTTTTCTCCTTCGACGGCGTCCAGCAAGGGGGATGTGACAAATCCATTCGGTTCTTCGGCGAGGGTTCATTTTTTAGACTGCCAAAAGGTGGTCTGTCAGTTTGGTGGGATCTGTGGCAGGGACTGCGGAGATTTTTCTTCTTTCCTAGACATTGAGACATGAGTACGGGGGGCCCGATCGATCAGTATCCAGTACCACCTTCCCGACTTTTTGAAAAGCCAAATCCTCCTAGTGATCAAAACTCACGCCGTCAAAGCGGTCAAACGTCCAAAAGGTCTCGCTGGCTAGATGAAGTTCTGGGAGGAATATATTTGAATCATTAATGACATACGACCTTATCAACACTATCGTAGGCACATCACCCAATTCTGAAATTTCCTGTCCTGATATGGATGAGATCATTCATGATGATGACTGCGTAAACGATTGAGAAAATCGATATTGGACGCCGGTACAGAGATCGGGACCTCAGCCCTCCCTCCAAAATTGTAGAATGATTGAAACAACGGTAGTTAGACCACAGGAGGGAGTAGCGAGGGGGTATAACGAGTGTACCAGCCCTGGGAGAAACCAAATCTGGAAGTAGTTCTCGTTATACCCCTCATTCTCACACCGTTGAGGCCTAGACATGGATTCAGGATCAACTCCATAACGAATCAAAGGCCCCGAAGACCACAAGCAGCATCATTATCAATATCATCTACGGGAGAAGGTCCCCCTTCGCCACCGATGACAGAACGAGGAATATGTCGCTGCCCATAACATCCTTCATATTACGGATCATGAGCCTCTAGAAATTGATGATGAGCCCAATAATAAGTCAATGACGGTAATAAGAAACTCCGTCCGAGAGTAATGTAAACCTCGGACGTGGGACAAAGATTTGAGGGAAACGGAGATCTCGTTTAATGGGACATAATACAAGAAGTTGGAAGACGGGAGGCACAAAGCAAGAGTACCCCATATGGGCATGTGGAGGCAGTAAGAAAACAACCCACTTCCGTCCCTTAGAGTTTTTTCTTCTCATGTACTAGGCCGTATGAGGGCGAACTTGGTTCGGTGTAATGCTGCATATGTGCTCTTTGACAGCGATAGCCCAAAGAAGGTTGGAAGTTAGAGCACAGGCCGTAATGTGCCAATGGGTATGTGAGTGGGTGTGGGGGGGATGGAGAAGGAGAGCTGGGAACCCTTTCTCTACCAGTTTTCAGGACTACTCCAAGATACATGCCCCTTGGGGTAACCTGGTTTGAACTCTCTTCAAATCAAAAACCGTACCAACCAGCTTCCGATCGCCGGTGCGTACTATGTATGTATGCACGATGTCCTGCATGAAATAATTTGGCGAGCCAAGATGGGTTGTTGCTTACTGCTTCATGCATCACTATCTAGCCAACACTGGTTGTGCTTAGTAGAATCCCAAGGTCAACTGCGTCTGCCCCAATGTTTCCTCTGACCCGAATGAAAAGAGAGTCCAAAGTCTCACGAAATGGTGATCAAAGGGAAGGAAATCTCCGGGCTGCTAAGCTTGAGATCAGATCCGTCAGCTTCGGTGAAATATGTTGCCGATTGTATTGCACATGCAAACATGGTGCTTGCATGGGCCAACCGTGCAGTCAGGCAGCAGTTTATAACAATCTACAAAAAGGCACACTTGGATGATACCGTGTCATAACCAGTTGATTTCAACCAGATCAAAGTCTTCATTATGTGAATTGGACTGGGTACTAGAACATATATACCTGACAGGGACTGTGAATACTGGATTGTTTTGGGACTCAAATTACAGCATTCAATGACCGAACATCCAGAAAGGGTAACATGAGCCAAATAAGCATTGTGAAAAGCTAAACTATAAGGTATGTAAAGAGAAACGATGAAGAAAGAAATCAAAAGCGGGCTATGCGTGACAGACAGAAACAGTAGAAGTAGTTACCATAAAAAGACCCAATTACCATGTATTTGTGTAAGAGAACGACGTACCATCCCACACACTATTTACCTTCCGAGCATCGGCTTAAAATACCGGAAGAACGCTTAAAAAAGAAAACGTAAAAATGCAAAAGAAAAACCGAAAGAAAAAACCTTTTAGCAAGCGAACCCCAACCTCATTGCCTCATCATCTTCCCAAATATCCACCCCACCCTCCCGAAGCAGAAAAAAAAAGGTGGTATAATTAGCCTGACATCCTCAATGCCAGGAAACAAGCGTAGTAAATTGACAAGACACTAAACCGCAACAACAAAATTCCAGTTATAAATTTACAAGACCAGCATGGCGGCGCATGCAGCGAACAGGGCAACGATGCTGACACCGGCGCGGGCAGCAGAGTTGGTCTCATCGCTTGAGTTACCGGAACCTGAAGTTGAAGAACCACCGCTGGAAGACTTGGCCTCATCGAGCTTTCCCTCACAAGTGTACCCGCTACCCTTTACAACACCATCGCTCTTGTAGTTGTCAAACTCAGTGCAGTCAAACTCCTCGGTGGTTTGGATGTTCATTCCTCCACGGACATCATCAAGAGCGGGAAGAGTGGCGCTAGTAAAGAAATTAACACTGCGAGTTCACGGAAGGAAGATGTTTGTGCAAGAACTTACTTGGTGAAGCTTCCAGAGAAATCAACAGATCCGTCAACAGTGGTCAAAGCAGCGAAACCATCAATGTTGGTAAGCTTGGTGTTGTTGGCCAACTGGAAAGTACCTCCGATGGTCTCGAGGTTCGGGGCAGAACAGTTCGACAATTGAGAGTTGCTGTTAAACGCGAAAGAACCACCAACCTCAGTCAACTCAGGGAAGCTGGCGTCGGAAAAGGTGTTGTTGATGAAAGCAATGGTTCCGTTGACTGACTCGAGCTTAGGGAAGGACACGGATCCAGCGTCACGAATGGTGATGTTCTTTGCCCAAACCAGATCAGGGAAGGCAACATTGACACCCTTGCTGTTGAATTCAATGTTGACTGCGTTAGAGACGTTCCCAAGTGCAACATTGACCTCTTTCAAGTACTTGTTGTTGTTGATGTTGAAGTTGGTGGCAGTTTGCAAGTTAATTCCTTCAAGGGAAGTGAGGATGGTGTCAGTGATCAAGACTTCGTCGCACTTGGTGACTCCGGAAGTAAAATCGAGAGCCTTGAGAGCAGGAAGAGTCACCCAGTTGATGTTTCCAACCGAGGTAAGAGAAGCACAGCTGACAGAGGACAGGATGGTCAACTCCTGCATGGTCCAGGTTCCGCTGATTGAGCGGAGCATGGGAGCACTGATTGAGGTGAGGCCAGTAGCTCCAGCGATGGACAAGGCTCCGTCGATGGTCTGGAGACTAGGGATTGAGAGAATACCAACTCCCTCTCCAACAGTGACATCTCCCTTCCAGCTGTTACAGTTGTCAAGCTTGCTAACATCGCCGTCGCTCTCGATAGAGACATCACCCTCACATTCGGCTATGGTTGAGATGTTAGTCAAAGTTGCACAGTGTTTTACACTTTTTCCCCCCTTCTCTTTCGTTGAATTCATAGAACGGGGAATTTCACGTGTGATGTGAATCGAGATGAGCATAACGATGTGTGTGCATCAGAAAATGAGGAGAACATACCACTTAGAGCACCAGCTATGGCAAACGAGGCCAAGAGGAAGGATCTGAGAGAAGGCATTGTGTATTATTAAAAGTTTAATGTTTGTTGATGATGTTGATGATGGTGCTGGTGTAATGGGGGTGGTGTTGAAATGACAAGCAAACTCTACTGATCAACGAAGGTGAGAAGCTTGAATGAATGAACGAGAGACTGGTTAAAGAAGAGGCGTGATGAAGAACGAGGAAGGAAAGGAAGAGAGAGAAGGGTGGGAGAGGAGAGAAGAAGACTACGACGACGTGAGTGGATAGCCGTGGTGCGTTGACTGAAAGAGGGTGGCGGAAACGGGGATAGAAAGGAGGGAAAGGGGACCGTGAGAGAAAAAAAGGAGCACACGGGAAGCAAAACCACTTAGAACGACAAGACACGCAGCACGCTTGCTAGAATTGGACGTAGCGGCGGAAATAGCAGGTGGTCTGGCCGCGAAAGTTAGATTTGTTGGCAAGGAATAGAGCGTGGTGGGTAGAGAGAGGTGGTGCCTGCCTACCTGCCTGTGGCTCCGCCGGAATGCGAGCAAGCCCGGCATATGCCAGGGGGTTTTGATTGGAAGGACTGTGATATCCACCTGCTCCCCCCCACCCATTGCCTCTCTAAACTAGAAACAAGAACTATCTTCAAGTACATCTGTATCAAATCTCCTCTTCTTCTGCTATTGGTACTATTTTACTGCTGCCTACTACGATACTACGATTGAACATCAAACCAAGATTCAATCACTACGAGTCGAGGTACATGCCCCGAAAATAAAAACAAAAAATTCTTTAGCGAAATTTCTCTATCCTGATTGATCGATCCTTCGCATTACCCGCGGGGTCCAATCCTTAGACCAGTTGAAGGGTCTCTCATTGAGATAACCCAATAGCATATTCATTTGGCTTGGGGTAACGTTTCTCTATGTCGCTACAAATAGTCCTTCTATGTCTACCTATGGGGTGTTTCGACAATTCACTGCGTAAGAAGTGTGTATGATACGGTAACGGCATACAATGCAGAAATAGTAATTGCGAAACAGACGTCAGCGGCCAGAAGGGTGGTCTGCCACAGCTCTGTTTCCACAGCCGCTGGATCTGGATTTCTAGAGTATCTTTCCACGGAAGTCGCTTTGTAGGCGGTAGATCGCCGCTATATCTGTCAAATATTCCATTTCTGTACAGATGATTGGTTCATATCGGTGCCGCATGCTTGCATTCATAGTAGTGCCCACTCCTTCGATCTTACAGGCAAACCTTTTGAAGGAGGTGTGTTCGTCTAGAATACATAATTCCTCTACCTACATTACCTACATACTTCGAAAGAGCAAACCTTCCCTACAATAGCTTCCATCTGTCTGCGGCCGCTGTTTTCCTTAACTTAGTAGCTCGGTTGCCGTCAAGTCCAAACCCGAAAAAAATGCAATTCGATGCCCTGCCAAGATTCGGCCTAGAGAACCCGAAGTGGCCATCCTATAATTTATTTGCCCGCCAGTCCGCTCCAATTCCCCTCAAACAGCCGGAATTTGACTGAGAGAGCGGAATTGGTCTTGGCGATTGATTCTACAGTCTAGAGGGTTGTCAATTCCAGGTTTCTTGGTCCCTTCCCCTGTTTGTGTTGGCTCCGAATTCTTGCGTGTCCACTGTCGACGTTGCCTGCATCTAGGCGAAATGCCTGTGCAGCTACTAAGTGTCCTTGGCACTAAAGCCCCTGGAGGGTGATGCTCGAAACGTTGATTTGTGGCTAGTGCGATCAGAACCTCGGAACCTACAAAACTAGAAATTAATGATGGTGTTTATTGCGAACCACTTTCAAGATAGTAGGTACAGCGGTGGGTAATAAGTCATCGGACGACCTAGCCACAATTTTGCCTGCAAACGCGTATTTTGGTGGCGTTCCGTCTGATGACTTATTACCCACCGCTGTACATACTCCTACTACTCTTCCTATTAGTATTTCAATCCAAAAGACCCCAAGGGCTCGTCAGAACTGGCCCAGTGTCTATCTCTGGGAGTATGTAACTGAATATCGAGGAGAAAATAAGTTTTCGAACGAGATCAACAAATGTCGATTTCTGTGGAAATTGTTTTGGTATGGTATCGCCACGATCTGGAACATTTCGGCTTGTTGTCTTTGCCAGCGTCAATGTTTTAAAGCCTGGCTCTTGGCTGATAGTCGTTGCCGCCATAAATGGCATTGCGAACCCCAGCGCATCGGTCGAATATCACCATAGGCTGGGCTTTCCCAAGGTTTGTTGATTTGTTTAACGGCGGTCCTTGGGGGGGGGGGGGGGGTTAAATTACAAAGCTTTGTGAGCCAGTAACTATTTAAAGTTTATGGTTCTCGGAACCTTGTGTTTCGCTCACGGCTCGGCTCGCAGAAAAAAAATGGAGCTCCTAAGCTTGTTTTTGAAATGGTAATATACCCCTTAATTGATAATGGACCGAAAAGCATAATTTACGTAGGGCTTACGGCCAGTACTCCATAGGAAATCTTCAATCTCGCTCGAACCCCGAGAAAGCTTCTAAACCCCAAGTCCTTGTGGGTAGACGCATTCATGGTTGGGAAAGTCCTGACTTTGACGCACGTCATTTGCGGTGTTCCACTCTAAAGCAGTACATAGGAGGTAGGTACATGCAACACGTAGAATTATTTGACAGAGGTTATCTTCGCAAAATTATACACGTGAACACAGTATACCCTCGGTAACGAGGTAGAGTAGATCAAGCAGGTACAAGCAAAAAGCGCAATTAAGGAATATCTATCTTGGTTGCTGAGATCAATTAACATCTAATATCGCATCTCACACTGTAAGACGTTTACACAAGAACATCTACATACATGGTTAGAGTTAGGTACATGTATTCCATCATGACATTCTGGAATCCGATATTACGGGAAATCCGTGGGGGCCATGTCGAAAATCCCCGGCTTCTAATCAGATCCTTCAAGGCTTGTGATCTAAAGGCACAACAGAGGAATCTAGGTTTGTTCACAAATCGATCCGATACCAAAAATACAGAAATCTACAAACACAACTCCCGGTTTTTATAGAGGAATATCGTCTGCACATAGCTAATTAAAAGGTCCGGCAGGCAGATTTATTGTTTACAAACTTTTCGGAAAGCATGCTAGCCTGAGATTTCACGTCCAGGAGCAGTAGATACCACCTGATATCTTGGATCAGCCTGTCTAGGTTTTAACAATCCTATTGCTTTTTTGCACCATGTAAATACCACCACGAGATACGCGAGCGCCGACATAATTCACTGAATGCAATGCTCAAAGTCTGCATAACGTTCTACAACATTTACAGAATAGGATTGAAGACACGAGATTATGCACAGCGTATCCGTGAAAGCTTGCCTATCCTATCACGAGAACAGCAAGTGGTACAGGAACTCCCTACTGTGTAGAGTACCAAGCTCTTTCTCTAGATCTCTTTACTTACCAAGTAAAGTTCTCTTTCTCTTTACTCTTTCTTTCTTCCTCTGCGTCAAGCTATTTATTCCGATAACTCAGGGTCTCGGATCATAATCCCTTACTAAGAATAGTGGCTAGTCCAACAAAGCACACGGAAACATCTTTGATGGAGTTTAAGTTTTTATCCTCGAGTCTTGACGCTCCGCTCTGGCACTTTGGATGTTCTTGGAGTTGTCCCGTGATGTTTGATTAACAGTTATGGAAAGGCATGACCGGCCAATGATTTTCTTTCCGAGAGGACGGGGGGCAATGAGTTTGTCATACCCTTGTGGGGGATTGTCCATCCATCTTTGCGGTGTCATAGGGCCCTGTCTGTGGGAAACAACGCGAACTCCAGGCAATATCAACTCCACTTGTGCATAGCTACAGTAGCTAGCTCACGACTTCCTAAGCGCTGCTACATACGTGCTATTATCATTTACTACCATAGACAAATTTCTCGTACATCCATAGGGGAAGGTTCATTATGGTCGCAACCACTCGTTCCAAGGGCAACCTTACACTGCTCCCCAAAGCCTCCAAAGCTGGAATCACAAAACGTTCCAAATCAACATCCGCCAATGCCTTGAGCTCAAGGCTGGCTCACGATGGATCGACCACCCCGACTCCGGCGGTTGCAAAGGCCATGGCCACCCCAAGCTCCCAGACCCCAAACGTTGTAGTGCTAATAGCTCGCCCTGCGTCTCTGACAGCTACAAACGCCCTACTGGTCTCACCTCCCCTAGCCCCGACACAGGTTTCGCCACACGCATCCGCCGCCTCCCCCTCCCCCTCCGGGTCAACGACGACGACGACGAGTGACATTCTCAAGGCTGGGATAGCTCATCTGCTCAGCGTCGAACCCAAACTTGCCCCGCTAATCGAATCACACCCATGCGCCCTCTTTTCCCCCGCCGGCCTCGCGGAGCCGGTGGATCCATTCTACTCCCTCATGTCCGGTATCATCTCACAGCAGATCTCCTCCGCCGCGGCACGCTCCATCAAGTCGAAATTCATATCTCTCTTTCAACCAGCACTTGAAAATGCTGGGTTAACATTCCCGACGCCTGCAATGGTACTGGGGTGTTCGCAGGAGTTCTTACGTACCGGCGGGCTGAGCACTAGGAAGGCCGAGTATGCGCACTCATTGGCGGAGACGTTTGTGGGCGGGGATTTGTCGGCGGAGATACTCTCAAGCGCTAGCGACGAGGAGGTCGTCCGGCGGCTGGTTGCGGTGAAGGGCATTGGAGGTGAGAGCCCCGTTTCTTTGTGGTAAGCTCATGCCGCCAGGTGTGGAATGCGAGGGGTACACCCACGCTCACTTACATAGCGCCGGCTTGAATACTTGGAATCTGTTATCACAGATCCGGCGGCGTGAGATTTCGGCTTTCAAAATAGAGCTTCCTAAAAAAGATACCCGCTCGCATGCCCGCAGTTGGAGGATGGGCATTTATTCATCATTCTAACGGCAATTCTAGCTTGGTCCGCCGAAATGTTTCTCATGTTCGGTCTGAAACGAATGGACGTCTTTTCCCTTGGCGACCTCGGGATCCAGCGCGGCCAGGCTGTCATCGCAGGGCGTGACGTGG